TTTCTACTTCTTGCCCTTGTTCTTTGTTCCTATTTTTGTCTTCTATACTTTTTCTGCCTTTGTTTTAATTGAGCATTTTCTATGAATCTATTTACTCTCCTTTTTTAGCATATTATATTTCTTTTTTTTACTTTTTTTTTTTTTTTTTCTGAGACAGAGTCTCGCTCTGTTGCCCAGGCTAGGGTGCTGTGGCATTAGCCTAGCTCACAGCAACCTCAAACTCCTGGGCTCAAGCATTTTTTTTTTTTTTTCACTTTTTTAAAGTGATTGCTCAGAAGGGTTTGCAATATATATTTACAACTAATTCAAGTCCACTTTCAAATAACACTTTACTACTTCAAAGATAGTGCAAGTACCTTATAATGACAAAACCTTCCTAATTTCCCCCTCCTTTTCCTTGTATCATTGCTGTCATTCAATTCATTTATACGTAAGCATATTTTATGCACATACTCACCCAGGAGTGGTGCAGAACATCCTGTGAGGTGGAGGATGGAGATGAAGATGGTGTCAAAAAAGGGAACAAGAAAAGGGGTGGGTTTGGGGTATATATGCAAACTCATGGATGTGAGTTTAAGAAATCTGGGAGTCTTGAACCTGTGGCTCCTCTCACTGACTTATTGCTGTTCCATGTGAATAAATGTGGTTGGCAAAGCAATAAGAATGAGCAGGTTTCGGTGGCTTCTTTTTCTCTGCCTGTTGGCATCTCCAGGAAGCCTGGTTCTTACACTGGACAGCCCATTCCCTTGGCTGCGTGATTCAGGGGGCTGAATTGGGGCTGTGGCAACTGTGAGGCTCCAGAGACACAGCAGAAGCACTCCCGTTATTCTGGGAATGAGATAGCAGTGGGTAGGGAATGTGGGGGTGGAAGCTGTCAACACAGTTAAAAATGTGAGCCTGTCTCTCAAAGTTTCTGGGGTCCATAGAGGGTGCAATCTCTCTGATGTGTCTAATGCCTCATGGTTGCCTACTATGGACTGAATGTTTTTCTCATCCTCCCACCCCCAAATTCGTATGTCGAAGCCCTAATCTCCAATGTGATGGTATCTGGAGGTGGGGCTTTGGGGAGGTAATTAGGTTTAGATAAAGTCCAGATAGTGGGGCCCCAATGATGGAATTAGTGTCCTTTTAAGAAGAAGAAGGGGGACCAGAGCTTGCTCTCTCTCTGCTGTGTGAGCACATAGCGAGAGGTCAGCCATCAGCAAGCCAGGAAGATGGTCTTCACCAGGAACCAGATCTACTGACAGCTTGATCTCATACTTCCCAACCTCTAGAACTGTGAGACATAAATGTCTGCTGTTTAAGCCACCCAGTCCATGGTATCTTGTTATAGCAGCACAAGTAGACTAAGACACTACCATTATTCCCCTGTCTCTGTGTGATCCTGGAATCCTTCTACAGCTCATCCCAGTTAGAGACTTCGTGTGCTACTTGGACCAGTGGCCACAGCTGCTACCATGGCAACCGTAGCTGGGCCCCTGACCATGCAACACTACTTGCAGGCTGTGTTTGGACTTTGGACCTGCTCTGCCAAATATCTAGAAGCATCACTCCCTCAATCAAATTCTCTCTCTTGTCAAGCAGTCTGATGTGATAAGGGTGTTCAGTAGAGAAAATGGAGCAAGAAAAAAAGGAAGAACTTGGACTCTCCACAGTATGGACCATTCTGTAGAGAATTCACACTTTGACCCTTTCTCACTTCTCTTACATACATTCCTTGTGGCCACTAGCACCTAATAGTCACTAAAGAAATGAGACAACATATTGTGAAATGTGTTTATTATACTCATGATCAAAATTAAATCTCTTGTTGTGAAAGGAAAATAACATGGAACAGAATAGCTGCAGAAAGCTGCCCCCAAACTTAAGGAGAACACCAACTGATTTTTAGGCTGAAGTGGCCCTAAAGGTGACAAGAACTGACCATCCAGCTTTTCATACACGGTAACCCAGGCGAGGGAGGAACAGTGTGGTGTACAACATGTTGGCACCAAGTCAGGTCACACTGAGACATTCCAGGGATGGAAAACAAGGAGGAACATTAAATATTTGAACATTGGCAATTTTTAATCCCAGCTTTGAAGGGCCAGGAGGGTAAACACAGTCCATTTATAAAGGCAAGTGCACACTCCCAGGCCTCCCAATAATGCAACATTGTTATGCTTGTCTATGCGCCGATGATTTTGTAGTACAAAAAGTCACTCCAGACAGGTTGGCTCCGGCCACACCTGCCTCTGGAGAGAGGCCAAAATTGTTCTGCTGCAATCCTCGCAGTGGCACAATGACATTTTTATAGAGAGGTTTGCCGCTGTTTGTCTTGTACCATGATTTCTACAGAGGTCAGAGCTGAGAGGGAATCCTGGCGGTGACCACATTCCTCCACCCCACAACCGAGGGCAGGTGTGCACCACTAAAAAAAATTTAAAAAACCCACAAGTTCTCTTTGTTTAACAGAAAATTACTCATGTGAATTCTGGCCTGAGGGAATTAGATCATGTTTGTTCTTAGAAACAGCCTTGGCTGAGGGTACGGAGTGCGTGGGTCCCACAGTCCCCACCTGCATCTCTCATGAGGTGTCTGTTGGGGCCACAGCCAGCAAACCCTTTCTCCACTAAATGTGTTTCTATCTTGCCGGCCTGCTACTGCCTAAGAAAAAGTACAGGCTGAGCTGCAGCCTGGTAGCCTGCATAATGATGGTATCGGCTCGCACAGTCCAAGAGGATGCATTTATAAAATAAATCAGACAGTTCCACTTCACTTCTTATACACCTCAGCATTTTCCTGGGCCAACAACCATTACTAAGCAAGGATTGAACATTTCAGGCCTAATATTTGTCTGCTGCTATTCTCTCTCTCCAGAAGACAGTTGGCAAAAATGTTTAGAAAAACCTGGTGAATTCAAAGATTGACAAGTTACAAAAATATGTAAATTAATACATACATACATTACTGTATATGCAGTTAATACTCTATTCCGTCCATAAAAGAAGTCACACCTGCCCTCCACAGATGTTTACAGATTGATCTTTTATCAGACCAGAGTGTTGGAGGTTGGTGGGGCAGGAGAATATGCCACGTAGAGGCTGCAAAGATAGAAGGGGTTTCACGACACAGACACCAAAACCAGATAAAGACAGCACAAAAATAAACTACAGATCACTATCACTCGGAGGTGCTGAAATGAACATTCTAAATGAAATAGTGGCATATTTAAAGAGTAGTAAAACCATGACCAAGCGGGGTTGTTCCAAGAATGCAAAGATGATTTAATACTGGTGATTTGTTAACATAATTCACCATATTTTGTTATCAAAGAAAAAATAAGATCATTTCAAGACATTTAATAAATATATGTTTATGTTATAAACTCTTAATAGTGGAAGAATAGATACAACCTTAATATGATTAAAAATGTAGACGCCCCTTACACCGAACCACAAGTCAGCATTGTACTTAATGGTGAAAAGGTAAAATGCTTCTTAGAGTGCTGTCAAAGTAAAGAACAGGACAAGGATTTATCACCATCCTGTTATTTAACCCCGTTGGAATATACTCATCAAAGAAAATAGGAAAAAAGCAATATTTAAAAAATAGAAAGAAATTCCATTTATAATAACAATAAAACAAATTATACAAATAAATAAATTTTAAAAGAAGTATGCAGAACACATACAAGAAAATTCTTAGCCTCTGTTGAAGGATATAAAAGAAGACTTCAGTAAATGGGAATGTATATCTTAGTCTTACAGAGCAAAACTCAAAAATCTAAAGGTGTCAACTTTTTCTAAATTAATTTAGAAATTTGATGTAATTTGATTCAAAATGCCAATAGAATTTTTTTTTTCATAACTCAACAAGCTGATCTTACAGTTGAAATAAAATGAGAATATGGAAAAAAAAAAAAATAGAAGAACTGGGAAGAGGTAGGGATTGGCCTTATTAGACATCTAAATGCCGTAGTAAGTAAAGCAGTTCACTGTTGGAGCAGAATTAAACAGTCACAATCACATCTGTATCTAGGTGCAAATGACTGATAATGACTCTGAGAACCATTCATCCAGAACATAGTTTTCAGGGGTCTGTGATGTCCTAGCCAAATGCAGAAGACCTCACATGGGTTCCATCCAGTCCTGGCAAGAGACCATGATCGGGTTTGGGGCTTCTCACATCCTCAACTTCTCTCACTACTCCAGGCCTGGCTCCAGGAATGGCAGCAATTGGAGCCCATTTCTAAATAAGTGGATTGGAGAACACAAACCCCCATCCCTGGGGACCTGTCCTGGTGATACCTGCGTTGAGAGAGAGCACTCTTTGCTATTGACTCCCTGGACTGAGAAACCTGAAGGTAAAGAAGCAACAACAATATTCTCATGGGGACAGTGATTGACTGTGCTACCTCTTACTCCATAGCCACCAGACTATTTTTTTTTTTATTAATTAACTTTGTTTTTTAGAGCAGTTTTAGTTTTTAAAAAAATGAGCAGAAAGTACAGAGAGTTCCCATCTCTTCCTTCTCCCCATCCTACGCCTCACCCCACACAATTCCCTCTATTAGTAACATCTTGCACCAAGGTGGCACATTTGGTACAACTGATAAACCAATATTGGCATGTTTGCATTAGGGCTCACTCTTTGGGTTGTACATTCTATGGATTTTGACAAGTGCATGTCACAAATCCACCATTTCGGCATCATACAAAATAGTTTTGCTGCCCTAAAAGTCCCCTAAGCCCCACAGATGATTTTTCAAAATTAAAATTAGATGTGAAAGGAAAGATAGAACTCTTCTGACACTGACCTACTCAGGACCAATTGTCTTTTTAATAACAAGGAATTTACGACCATTTTTAAATTGACCTAAAACACACCAAACACAGTCACTTCATGAGTCTTTAATTCCTAAAATCCTCAGCTGACACCAATCTTCTCAGGCCATTAGTTTCTCATCTAAAAATTTCGTATTTATGTTAAATCAGGCAATGAAAGAAGGAGTCTTACAGGAAAAGTAAGGCATTTATTACAGATTGGAATTGATCAAAAGAAAAATTACAGAATTTATCAAATATCTTTCTTCGTTGCAACGTCTCTTCCTTCCAATGCATTCTGCTGTTAAAAGACAGAAGAAGGGTAACATCAGATCACGGTGGCACATACATTCCTGCTGTGGCTCCCAGGACCCGGGAGTCCTGGACACTGTCCAGAACAGGTCCGATGGCACTGGGGACTAGAGCTATGCGCAGCTATGTGCAGCGGCAGCTCCTCAAATAAACAAAAGGGGTGAGAAGAGATGACTGAGTCTGGGTGACAGAGACACAGCCCCATAAAGGAAGCCCAAGTCTCAAAATGGGAAGAATCGAAGAGGCCCCTGAGAGGCTGTGGACAGGTGTTGGGCTCAGTCTGGCCTAAGGAGGTGCCTGTGGCGTGAGGTTGGGAAGGAAGGAACAAATTAAACCAGTGAAGGAGGAAGCTGGTCACAGCCATGGTCCTCTGAGGGTGTGGGGCTGCTGATGGGAATATCCATCCATCCATCCATCCATTCGTTCATTCATCGGTTCATCCATTCAGTAAACACACATGCTTGGGCATTTATTGGGGGTTACAAAGATCAACAAGGCCTAGTTCTGACATAGGAAAAACCCCACAAACTAGTGCAGACAATAGCAATAGTTAGAGCAGAGCATGGTCCATGCAATTGCAGAGACACCCATGTGCAGGAAACCCGAGGAGAGGGGCCCTTGGAGAAGACATCGAGCTGGACTCAGGGCACACGGGGGCAGGGTGTTGTATTCCAGCAGGAGGAGCCTGGGGATTCAGGCCAGACCCAGCTGGGGGCCCTCGGGAATAGTCAGCTGCAAGCCACTCTCCCACGTAAGTCGGGAGACAAAGAGTAGCCGCACATGAAGCCGGGGAAGGGGATGCAGGCAGTGACCACACTACCGGGGCCGGGCTGCCTGCTCGCGCACATCGTGAGGGAGCTTAGAGTCCATCCTGCAGGTGGGCAGGGCCCTTGGCCCGGCGAGGGCTCGTGCTAAGATAACTCTGGTGACAGTGCACAGGCACCCTTGAGGGGAGCAAGACAAAACCACCAGAAGGACATTGAACACACTAGGCTAGAGATGACGAGGCCAGGACCGGAGCAAACAGCACGGAGAGGGGACAGAGGAAGGCATAAGAGGGCTTGGTGACCAGTGGGTGAGGGAGGGGGAAGGCCTGAGAAGAATCCGTTTCAGGCCTGGGTAACTGGGAAGATGCGTGGGCTGCGGGAGGAAGAGTCAGTCTCCAAGGGAAGAATTCTGTTCTGAGCACGGAGTGGAACATCCAGAGGGAGGTGCCTGGAGTGCAGGCGAGAGGGGCAGTGTGGAACAGGGGTTGGATCATCCCCGGACAGCTGGGGTCGGAGCCTGGGGGTTCCTGGGGTGACCGGGAAGGGGAGGGCAGGGAGCACAGGGGAGCAGGGTGGAAGCCTTGGGAACATCATCGTTTGAGGAGCAGCAGGGAGAAGAGGGATCCGTGGGGAACAGGGGGAGTCTGGGCCAGAGGAGAGCCAGGGGAGGGAGCGAAATCTCGGGCCAGAGGATTTCAAGAGCACAGCGGTTATCAGATGCGCTATAGATTCAGCAGGAAAAGGGACGGACGTGGGGTGCGGGGGCAGCGGGGAGGTGGCTGCGGAGCAGGGCAGGGTCAGAGCAGGGTCAGAGCAGGCACAGAGACTGATGAGGTCCTGGCTGCTAGAGAAGACAGGGCTGGTTTTTAAAGACAGGATGAGAAGAGAACAAGAGAGATCAAAGAGAAGCCAGGGATAAACTAGGCACAGGGAACCCACTCTACGGCCAGCCCTCGCGATTCGCAGATTCCACATTTGTGAATTCACCTCTCACGAATATTTATTTGCACCCCCAAAGTCAATAGTTGTGGCGCTTTCTCATTCATTCCCAGACGTGCGTGGACCAGCAAAAAATTCGAGTCATCCCACCCACACGCTCCCAGCTGAGGTCAAACAGGGCGACACTCTGCCTGCTTGTTTCAGCTCTCTTGCTGTGAGCAAGTGTCCTTTTTGAGGTCTATGCAGTGCCATGTTTTTGCATTTTTGTGCTTTTTGTTGATGATTTCACTGTTCAGAACAGCCCCGAGTACAGCGCCGCCAAGTGCTCCTGAGTGCAGGAGGGCTGTGCTGTGCCTCACGGGGAAAATCTGTGTGTTAATAAGACAAGCTTGGCTCAGGCGTGAGTTCCGGTGCTGTTGGCCGTGAGTTCAATGTTAATGAATCAACAGCATATGTTACATAGGCATCGAAACAGAGACACAAGTACAAGGTTGAGGAACGTGCCATGACCAGGGGCTCGAGAGAACCTAGTCCCATACTCCCTGCATGAGCAGCAGTTCGGTATTCACTAACTCAGTGTTCTCGGCAACCGTATTAACTGCCGTGAATAACGAGGCTCGGCTGCACTCAGTGAAGTCATTGGGGGGAGTGTTTCGTGAATGTGAGTCAGACCAAGATGTGAGTAAACATAGCTGCATGTAGCCAGGTTCTGCCTCTGGGTCCTTGGCCGGGTCTTTTCTGTCTTCTGTGGGGTTCCGGCTCCCTTTGGTAGATGGGCCGTAATGAGATCATGACAAGGTCTGATTCCTGAATGTCAAAATCGCTCAGCAGCCTCACTGGGGTGGCCCAGGTGTCAGGGGCCGGCCCTGCCACACAGTGGGTGGTAGGTGAGTGTGTTGCTAACGTCCAATCAAAGTCTTTGCTTTCTGGTTGGTGACCACACTTCCATTTCACCTATAAACTAACAAAATTCTAAGCCCTGCCAACTGACTGAATGGACCCCATCTTGGCCAAGGGGACCCCAGAGAAACCTTAAAAACTGAGTTCCTGGCCAGGAGCGGGGAGGAGGTTGGACCCTTCTCATTATATCCCCTCCCTTTTGTGGTTTAGACATGACAACTGACCAGCATGAATGTTTAAATAGGGATCACAAGACTGACAGAACGGACTCTTTGAGGCCATAAGATATCAAATCATAAGCAGGGCCTAAGGCCATGCCAGATGAGGGTTAAGTCACACACCCTACACTCAAACTGTGTTCTAACTGTAGTAGGGATTTTCTTTTTCTCCAGCAGCTAAACAAGCACCGGCCTGGAGACAAGCAATACTGAAACAATTGCAGCTCATCCACCCCGACACTGAGTGACCAACCCCCGTTCCACAAGGCATGGCTACAACTACAGCTTTGATCAGCCAAGACACTGATTTCACTAACTTTCTCCCGATAAGACCACCGACCAGGGACTGGTTCTGGTCGGTTTATGGAGACTATGCAGTTGGGTGCCTTCACGTCCCTGCTTCACCTTTTGACACATAGGGCCTGATTTTAATGCCTTTAAATGCTAAATCTCCACCCCAAAGTGAACATGAGATGCATGTAACATGCATGTTTATTCAATACGCATGTGTGAGGACCCCTTTCATGAATATTCGTAGCCCCTCCCCTAACCTGTTGAATATGGATGCTTGGCCAGCCTGGTCCGCACACATCCCTGTTCAGCCTCCCTTCCCTCCAAGCACTGGCTTTGGTTTTCAGCCAGAGGCTGCGCTTCCCACCTGCAGGTTGTAACCCCCTTGGTAAGTAATAAAGCTCTCCTTTCCAAATTTGTAAATTGTGTGATTTTTAAATTAACACACCCAACGCATGACAACGTATCTTAAACAAACAATCCTTGAGGTTGTGTCCTCTCGTGCTGTTTCCTAAACATGGAGGTGTGAGTGTCGCAGGAAGGAAAAAGAGAGGCTGTGGGGACAGACAGCACCACAGGGTAAAGCCCAGCCCCAACGCTACCTCTGAGAGCGTGGCTTCTAAATGCCTCTGCTTCCTCATCTGTAATCAGAGAGGATAACAGTAATCAAACTGCATTTAGATTGTGCAGGGTTTGTGTAAGGTGATGCACATACACACAGATCCTGGCACACTTGAGGGCTGTGATCAAGGGCACACGGGCCGGGCAGGAGGCTGGCATTTAACGAACATTTGTCGAACAAAGAGATAAAAGCCTAAGACTGATTCCTTCCACGTGCACTTACTGACAAAAGGCCCCAGTCGGAACTGCCTCCTCTGTTGCTGAGCGCCATATTAAGAACTCTGGCAACAGCAGCGGAAAGGAAGGGGCGTCACGCGCACCGCTGTGGTGTGGGTGCTCAGGGTCTTCTGGCCACCACATAATGGAAAAGTCAGAGCTACTCCAGCAGCGGAGATCAAGACCGTGTAGGACTCTCAAGTAAATTCCTTTCAACAGAGAGCTCGGACCTGATTTTCCACATTTCCTCTTTCAGAGTAACAAATAAGAAAAGTGTTCAGAGCTCTTTCTTTAAAATTACATTTCACTATCCACTCTCATACAGTAAAGCATTTTCTATCAGCCTTAAAGAATCCTTAGAACAGTGTTTAGGGCTCTGGGAATTCCATAATAAATGAGCCCAAGTGTCTACCCCTCAAAGAGCTCCCCAAAATGTCATCCACAATTTGAAAATATCAATTTTAGTTTTGGTCATGCATTCACTCATTTATTCTTTCCTCCCAGCCTGATTGACTATATTCTACACACTGTTCTTAGCATGATGAAATTGACGAAGGATATTGTTACTGATAATTTCCTATAGACATATCATTAATGATATTTTTACTTATTATAAAACAAAAATAATTAGTAAGGACTACAAGGTAATGCATCTTCAAAGAGTTCATGCTCCAGTAGGCACAAAAATAAGTCAAAAATAATAATAAACCTTTGAAGAAACTGAGTCCTGAGAAGTTAGGGGACTGGACGGCCTTCGTGAGTGGGAGAGCAGGCACAGAGCCAAGGCCGGCTGCTCCAGATCTCCGCCAGACTGGCCCCTCGCTGGGCCCACTGTGCCGGCCCTGCCAGCCTCACCCTGTGATTCTAGGAAACTCAGAGCACAGTGTGGAAACCTGCCCTGAAGGTCACGGGAGGGCAGAGACATAACTGGGACTTCAGTCAAAGTCAATGTCCAGACCAGGGCAAGCAGCATTTGACCTTTAGTCTGTGCTGCCTTTTAAAAGACATGGTTTTAAGTGATCAATTTCTTTATAGAAATCAGATGATGCATATATTGCAATGCACATATGTGTATACATCCAATATAATCATATTATTAATAAAAAAAATACAGCCAATCCATTGAGAATTCTATCTCCCCAGCCCCCAGGATACTCTGTGAAGCAAAAAGAAATGATTTTCATTTATAAAAAAGGAATATGATGAGTCTGTTTCTTTATAATGACTGGTTTCTCGATCTCGGTTTGAAGCTGGTTTTTATTTTTAGAGTGCACCATAGATTCAAAAGAAAACCTACCATTTGCATCTTTTATCCCAGGCGGTCTCACTGGTGAATTTTCCTTCTATTTTAGTAAAATGTCAGTTGACTTCTTTCAAATTCCAGTGGTTAAAAATTAATTATATTATGCTTACTTGATTTTTTTTGGTAAAAAATTTCAAGAACCCAAAGCAAAGGATTTCATGCACCCGGAGAACATCCACTGCCCACTTACGTATTGAGCGTGTGGGGCTGTGTGCAGGCAGTGGGGGAGGATGGCAGATGAGGTTCCTTGAGCCCTGCTCTGGGGGAGGCTGGTAGAGTCGGATGGGCAGAGAAGACACAACCAATCTCGGTGCCCTGTGATGAGGACTCTACAGAGGCCCAGAAGGGAACATCATCGCTGATTTGGCGGTGGCAGTTTGTGGTGTCAGTGTAGACCACCATGGGGAAGCCACAGCTGGGCTGAGACCTGAAGGGGCAAGCACAGCTAGTCGGGCAGCTGATCGCAGTGGAGGCTGCAGGGAGAGGACTTCAGTGCTGCTAGAGTGAGGTGCAGGGGGCGTGGGAGAGGTGAGGCTGGAGCAGTGGGCAGAGGCAGATCGTAAAGGCCACTGTGAGCTGCACCGGGGAGTCTGGACTTTACCCCAACAGCATGCAGTGTTGTGTAAACTGTACAGCTCAAACTTCATGGTTAACTTGTGTGTGTGCACGGAAAAATGACCATGCACTCAATGAACTTCTGTAATTCCATCTTAAGATTCCTTTTAAGGGTGCCCTTTATGGCAGCTACCTGTGCTCCAATCCCATCCCTAGAGACTGGAAATTCATGTGCACGTGGGAGTGTGATGAGTCGGCTCTCTGCAGCATGGGGCAAACAGCCTGCCCTGTCTCTTGGCTCAGAGTCTGGCTGTTGCACACCTTTGCTTTATCCCGCAGGTGAAGTGAGGGTCAGGGGTTTGTAGGAGGAAGGAGCAGAGTCTCCTTTGTGTTTCACGGTAAACTTGAAGACAGCATGCAAGGTAGAGAGTGTGGGATCAGGCCGGAGGCAAGAATGCAATCAACAGTGGTGACGGCAGTGAAATGACAGGCCAATGCCAAGGAAAACGTGTGGTGAGATCAACGAGACCAGACTTTGGTGGATGTGGAAGAAGACGAAGGATGAAGAGGAGTCAATCATGTCTCCAAGGTTTTTAGCTTGAACCAGTTAGGTGGATGGTGATGCCATCCACTAAGAAAGGAAGCCTGGCAGGAAGCCAGTTGAATTTCAGGGGCCCACAGGAAGCCCATGGCAACGGCATCCAACAGGTGGTTGCTCTAAGGGCCCGGATCCCGGCAGGGAGTGTGGTAGGAGACACATACTTGGAAATAATTACACATCAGTGCTAGTTGAAGACAAGTAAGAGGAAGAGATAGCAGCGTAATCTATAGAATAAGGAAAGAATTGGGCTAAGGAGAAAATACAGTATTTGAATTATAGATTAAGAAAAGGAAGTCGGATCAGATGTCATAGATGTGAAGGAGTAAAATCCAGTTTGCAAAAAGCAGGAAAGTGAAAAGGAGGTGAGGGGCTGGAGGCAGCGGCCGGAGACCACAGCTGCGTCAGGAAGGTGGCGGGGAGACAGGGGCGGGTTGGGGGAGAGGAGTCAGAGGAAGGGGCTGTTCTCCTGCTGCTGTTTGCACTTGAAGAGGAGAGACTGGTCACCTCAGTGGCCGCTGACACAAGGGCCGCGGAGAAAGAGGGCAGGCGCGTGAGACTGAAGAGACAGGTGATATTGGGGGCAGGCGAGGACGGGACCTGAACAGCAAGCTCCAGAGGTTCAGAGGCTGACAGCTTGAAGACATTCATTCCGAGCAGTTTCTATTTCTAAATACCTGTGTGTTTAGTGGTGTCCTCTTACCTCGGGGCTGTCACTCAAGGCCAGCATTTATTCTTGTTCTGCGCCGGTAGTTTGGGTACCGTCTATTTCCAGGAGGAAAGACCCTTCTCATGATCTCTAAGATTAAAAAGGGGACACAGAGGCTCCGTCAGTCACCTCAAGACCTAAGACAACGTGGATCGTGTGGCTATAGATTAACGAGAAGGGCTGCGACCAGTGTAGCCTGAGCCCGTTACCGAGAGGACACCTGAGGATGCGATGACCCCACCCCCCTGTCCAGCTCGCCCTTCTCTCCCCTGCGTTGTGTTGCCGGGAGCTCATCTCTCCCTGCTCCATATTACCACGTGTGATGTCTCAGCCACTGCTGGAAGCCCTGGGGGAAGGGACTGCCACGTTTATCTTTCAGTCCTCCATGGGATCTGCCCAGGGCTTGTCACACACATTTGTTGAATTAAATTAAGTCATCATGTTCAAAGCCATCTCCAAGACAGCTGCCCATCTGTGTCAGTGATGTTCCCCAAGGCCCAATATGTTTTCATATTTTATCTTAGAAATATCTTCTGAGACATATAAAAGGATTGGTCACATTAATTTATATCCACACAATATTTTTTGTTCCAAACGGTATTTGTCCAATGAGGTAGCCAGCCTCCAAGACGGCCTCCAGGTGTTCACACTCCTGGGCAGTGCTCTCCACGTTGGGCCCGGCTGGGCTGGGTGCTTGATAACATACACGAAAGTGATGATCTATCGCTTCCAAGCTTAGGTTATAACAGACTGTGCCTCTGTCTCGGGTGCTTTCTTGCTAGCTCATTCCTTCTCTTTCTTTCTCTCGGATCCTTGTCTCTGGGGGAGTCCAGCTGTCATGTTTTCAGGACACTCAGACAGCCGTGTGGAAAGGTCACATGGTGAAAAACTGAAGCCCTCAGTGCAATAGCCCGTGAAGATCCGAGTGCTGTTGGAAGTGGCTACTTCAGCCCTGGTCAAGCATCAGTTGAGACCACAGCCCCAGTTAACATCTTGTCCCCAACCTCGTGAGAGGCCCTGAACCAGAACCACTCAGTCAAGTTGCTCCTGAGTTCTTGACCCTGAGAAGCCATGAGACAATAAATGTTTGTTGTTTTAAGCTGCTAAATTTGGGGGTAATTTGATACACCGCAATAGATAACCAATGCACCCAAGTTTGTTATTAATTGGATACATAAGATTTATTGCCAAACAGTTTTTGGCTATTTCCAACATGAAATCCGAGGGCAAATGTTTGCCACCACTGCAGAGATTCAAAATAATAGGCCATAGATTCTGAAGGCAATTCCAAAAGAAGTGTTCATAAAAATGTTTCATTGGTGGTCATACTGATATAGTAACTATGTATTCTCCCAAAGTGATAACTTGGAAGAGGTATAAAAACTAGGCATTTTTTAAAATCAAGCATCAGATTGTAAGGCCTAACACTTCGAATAAATTCGAGTGTGCCTAATGAAGATCAGACATTGAGCTCATTGAAATATTAATATCGGTGTTATTCATTTTAATGAGGAACACTGAAGAGTGGATCTCACAATTCCTCTGGGAAGTAGGATGGAAAAAGCATAGGCTCTAGAGTACAGCAGGTCTGATCAAAGACCTGTCTCTGCTGCTCACTCCCTGGGTCAAAGTCCTACATTGCAGTGTAGCCTCAGCCAGTTGCCGAAATTCACTAAGCCTCCATTTGCTCACCTATAAAATGGGAAAGAATACAGTGCTGTCCCGCAGGATGGTTGTAAAGTTGGAGGAGAAAATTGTGTATGGGGTAAGCATTTTGTATGTGCCAGTTAATGCCACGAGTTATTACAAGCAGACAACACATCTGGTTTGCAGAGCTATGGTGTAGAAGACATGAGAAAACTGATCTGTTCAGGGGAGGCACAAAATACCTGTTAGTTTCATCCACTTACTGAGAAGTTTCATCGAGTATGGCAAAAAGATCATTAGAGTTCAGGCTATTCAAAAGTGCTTCTGAGTGGGGCAGGAAAAAAAGATCAATGTTTATTTGCTGAACCAGATTTGATATTTTCATTCTTGGTAACTTTTAAGTGGGTTAGTGCCTCAATGTTACCTTTTTATTGATTTGCAAAGGAAGTTTGTACATTACTATTCTTTCCATTTTCACTTATATTTTGTATTTCAGAGATTTGACTCCTATGAAATAGGATTTCTCAGAAGAGTCTGGATTGATCAGAGAAGGGCCTGGTGGTGTCCTGCAGCAGGGAACAGACCACTTACCAAGGGACCGATCATAAAGTTGTCCATTTCTGGATTCGTCAGGAATGAGACCTGTAACACAGTAACAGCCATAAGACAAGATCTCCTTCCTATTTCCAGAATGTTGTATGATTTTATTATTGATTTCACAAATATGCATCTTAAGCAAAGAAGCAGTGGGAGATCACCATAAAGTTTTGCCACCATCGGCACTAAAGGGAAAAGCTTCAGGAACATAAAAAGGACTCTTAAATCCTGGAGCACTGACCCAATCTCACTTCAAATTAGAGGCTGTATAAGCAGGGAAAAAAAGGAGAGCCCATTCTCCTCCAACCAAGACACTCGAAGAGATGGTCAGCTCTAGTTGCTCGGCTGGAGGATTACAGAGTTCAGCCTCAACCAACCACACAAGGTTTAGTCCTGATCTTCCCAGCTGCACATTGTTGCATACCTGGGCCCTATAACTCAGGAGGGAATGAGCATGTTCAAATTAGGGGACCCACTTAAGAGGAAAACCAATATTTGTCCAGCCATTGGGGCCATCAAATGGAATTATGTATAGAAAAGCTCTGTTGTAAATATAAAGGAATACCTTAAATGAATAGTAGTATCATTATTGCCTAGTGATAAGAAAGGAGCAAAAGCAAAACAAAATGTTAGTTTTTTATAGTTATTGTAATTGTTCAAAGGCTACATATAGGTATTTCTACTTTTAAATGACTCTTTAACAAAGAACCTCAATATGAGGTTTGTTTCATGAAAAAAAAAAAAACGTTAAAAAGAACAGATCTTAACTTACCAAATAGATAATCATTTCTCCACGTGTGAGATCCTAACATGTCCCCAAAAATCATCTAAAGAAATTTAGGCATCAGTATGTATCAGCACATGAAAGAGAAAACAGAAAGACATTGTAAAAAGTATAAATGTTATCTGGAAGACTTTGACATATAATTCATTTTTAATGACATAATGCAATATATTATATTAAATAATTTTATATATCAAATATGTATGTTTAAGAACATACATGGGGAAGAGCAACTTACATGAAGTTTAAATTGACCAAAGCTTTCCACTAGACTCAGAATGTATGCCAAATGTTGCAGACCGGAAAGATGGAACTTTGTTATGCAGACTTGCAAATAGACTGAGTTTAGGTCAAATGTCAGAGTTTTCTTTCTATGAAGTCCCCACAATATGTTCAGTAGGAAAAGATATCCATAAGAAGTTTTCATGAAATCACTGAAAGTCCATGTAATAGTCACACAGTAAGGTGGCTGCTTGGCCCACAGTCTTCCTACCAAGAGTCTGGGCTGCCTCCCTGTTACCCTCTCCATCCCAAACAGACAGAGTTAGTCTCCTGGTTCCCATCATACTGACTGGTCGAGGACTAGGAACATACTAAGATAATTTAATAGAGAAATAATAGTCTTTCCAACAAATAGTGCTGGTACAACTGGACATCCACATGCAAAAGAATGAAGGTGGATCCCTTCCTCACACCGTATACTAAAATTAAATCAAAACAGATCATAGACCTAAGTATAAGATTCACACAAACAACAAAAGAAAACATAGATAAATTGGACTTCAAGAACTTTAAAACTTTTGTTCTTCAAAGGGTACCATTAAGAAAGTGAAAGACAACACAGAGTGGGAGATAATACTTGCAAACAATTAAAACAATTAAAGACAAATAACCCAATTAAAACATGGGCAAAGGACTTGAATAGATATTTCTCCAAAGAAGATATATGATGGCCAATCATTAGTCATTAGAAAAATGTAAATTAAAACCACAGCGAAATACCACTTCACATTCACTAGAATGGCTTAAACAAACAAACAAACAAACCCCGAAAACAAACAGGCAATAACAAGCATTGGCAAGAATGTACAGAAACTGAAACAATTGGCCCTCATACATTACTTGTGGGAACGTAAAATGATACAACTGCTATGGAAAACAGTTTGGCATTTCCTCAAAAAGTTAAACATAGAGTTTCTATGATGTCCAGTAATTCCACTCCCAAGAGAACTGAAAACATATGTCCACACAAAACTTGCACATGAGTGTTCCTAGCATCATTATTCACAATAGCAAAAATGGTGGAAATAAGTCAAATGTCAATCAACTAATGAATGGAAAATCAAATGTGTTAGATCCATAAAATGGAACATTATTTGACAAGAAAAACGCTGTACATGGTAAATATATACAATGAAAAATAAATAAATCAATCATAATGTCCCATGTATCAATGAAATAAAAAGAGGAGGCACATGACAAAGGCCAGGCCAGTGGGACTGATGCCAAGAGATTTCTCTAACTCCAGTTAAAGAGAAATGCTTCTTTTTGTCCTAAGTTCAGAGGATATGAATCTGAAGTAGCTTGTGGCTTTACTTCCTGCTGCAAGGAGAAAGCTTATCCATAATAAGAGAGAAAGGGAGGAGGAGGAGAGGGAGAAGAAAGGAAGAGGAAGGGAAGGGAGAGGGGAGGGAGGGAGGGAAGGGGAGAGGAGGAGAAGGTGCATACAGTGTTGAAGGTCTCTGAAGTTGAGTTGTCCATGAGGCCAACTCCTCCCTTTCCTTTCTGGGAATGTGGTTGTGATCCAGGGAATTACCCCTTTCTGGCTTAGATTACCTGGAGTTGAATTTCTATCTTTTGAAATGGAAAGAGTAAATAAATGCCTGTCACTTCTCCTCCCCCGAGTTCAGAATTCCTGTTGTTCTTCCACCTCAGTTTTTCTCTTTTGGACTATTTTGGGTCCCTTGGCTGAAACCCTAGTGGAGGTTCATTCCATCCACTCCACAGCAGCAGGATTTGCCTGAAGTCAAGCCCACCTGTTGGGAGCTGAAGGAAGCGAGAGGGCATCAACCTGCGACCTTAGCATCGCATTCGTGGTGGCCGCCAAACCATCGTGGGGTCGAGTGAGGGCTTGAACACCACATGCAAACCCTTTATCCTCTACATATTTCCCTTTCAAATTTGAAAAAGAAATAATAAAAACTACCCCAAATTCAAATATCTATTTGGTTAAAAAAAGAATAGCACATTTAGAAATTTATTTCCTCAATTTCTTTACAGTTCCTATACTTAATAAAGTTATGTAGTGGGAAGTCCGAATTTTTTATATTTGGGACATTTTCTCTCATTATGCCCTTATCAGATATGTTCCAGTTGATCTGAGTCTTTATTAGTCACAATGTGGATTTTGGGGCTTCTTCCATGGCTTCTATCTTTCTTTACATTATATTCCCTCCTCTGGAAATTCTTCTATAATCTACATATGTTTTTCAAGTGATCTTTATTTTCATTACTGTGGGATTCTTTTCAGTTTTATTTCTTCCATTGCCTGCTTCCAACAATGAATTATTTGTTCTATGACTGAATTCATCCTAGTTTATTGTCTTTCATGTTGGTAATGTCACCATTTATTTCATTAAAAATGGTTTACAGCTGTTTTCTATTTTTTCTCCCTCTGTTTCACGTAAGAAATCCATTTCAGAGTTGCCAGGGATTACTTGAAATCTCTATCTGCTTTCTTCCTTTTCTTTTGTTTGCAAAATTCTTTAATTTTTGAATTTTTGTAATAACGTTGTTCATAATTCTTTATGATCTCCTCATTTTTAAGGACGAGCCACCTGGGAGTTCACTCTAAAATCTAGTTTGTTCCCGGGGCTAACTTAATTTAACATCAGAGTCTTCTCCGTGATCTTCACTATGCAATTAGAAAGTTGCAACAGATTTGCAGGTTGTACAATGAAAATCAACTTTCCAAAGCAGAGATGGAAGAGGGGTTAAGTTAGGTGGCCATCTATTAAATTAATTCTGTGTTAAAGGTCACAGAATGAACTAGAACCCATTTCTCTCAACTTTTACTGCTACTAGACCCCAGCTCCATTCAGCATTCTCTCTCACCTCTCCTGCCACCTCCTGTGCTCCGTGTTTGTTCTCACCTGGTTCCAGTCTATGCATCATCTGATTCTCTCCCCCTCCCCTGCACCTGCACACATCTACAGCCCTTCAGTAGCCTCCCTGTCATGAGGATAAAGGCAGGAATCGCCCACGTGACCTGGTGTTGGTCACCTCCAGCCCCACCTGTGCCTCTCTGCCCATGTTTGCTTACTCCAGTTATAATGGATTTCCATTCTGACCCACCAGCTTCCCTCGCTCATCGGGGTATGCCTGTGTGATTTCCCCCGTGCTGGAGACAGCCTGCCTCCCCTCCCGGCACACCCTGTGCCCTGTGTCTGACTCCCACCCACCCTCCAGTTCTTGCTCTGAACACACTTCCCTCCAGAAGCTCCGTCTGCCCTGCACGACATTCATTCCTCTCTCTGTGTGGTCCCCAGTAGTCAGGGCAATTCCTGCTTCACAGACACCCCCCTCCCACCCCGGGGTTCTATAAACCCCAGGAAGCCTGGGACTGTGCTTCCCTTGCTCCCCTCAGTCTCCTTTTCTCATATAAACTGTTCTGTTCTTAGCACTAAGAACAGAAGACCCTTGCACTGTGGCTCTGTGGTAAACTCAGAAAGGAAATTCACCTCAGAGGTTGCCAGTGTGAACAGGATCGATGAATAAGTTTATGCTAAACTAAAAATGTTTGTGGAGAAAGTCCTAATAAACTGTGCAGCGTTCTCTTTGTAGCTACAAGACCATCCTCTGTGACAGGAGTTTCTCAGTCACAAGTTTCGTCACTTTCCGTTCTAAAACGGCCTTCCATGCTCGATAGCTAAGGTGTGGGTATGTTAATTGTACGGGAAAATTAACTGTTACGAATAATTCTTGAAGTTGAAGTTTTATACTCTTCTAATGTAATTTTCACTACAGAATTAAATCTTAAAAATTGAACAAGAATCTAAGATGTTGTAGGACAGATTCACCTGTTAGTGGCAGAAACATTTCTAAAATACCTGTGAGGAATATTATCCAATTATGAATGAACAAATAAAGTAAGTCGTTAGTTTTTATCCCTGGTTTAAAGAGGCTGCCTCTTCATATTATATTCTTGTTCAGTAAATACTTGTTGAATGAATTTTCTTGTATTCATTTAAGTATTTACTGAGCGTCTACCCTGTGTCAAACATTAGGCTGACAAAAACAAACATCCCCGGCTGTCATGAGACATACAGTCTAATAAAAAAAAGCAGTCAATAAACAAATATGTACTATAATTGCAAGTCAGAAATGTATATATTATCAATTTTAAAGTATTATTGCAAATCACTTTTAATGCAACTGAGGGGGAAAAAAGTATCCTGCCATTCACTGAGCATCTATTATGCACCAGGCACCGGGCCATCAACTTACCTGGTTCTCTCAACAACCTATAAGGTGCTCTTTATTACTAGCGTTTAACCGATGAGGAAGCTGTGGGTCATGAGGGTTACATGAAGGTTAAGTTTCCTGACCTAGACAGCAGAGGTGGGGAATAGTTTTGAATGTTGGTCCAACAAAAACTCCCCTCTTCACGCCATTAAACCACAGTGCCAAGGAGGTACATAGATCTAAAGCTGTGAAGGTTTGCTAACTCTTACTTCAAGATCATGTCCCAAGTCACAGGGGATGCGGGGGGCAGGGAGAGAGAGAGAGGGAGGGAGAGAGGGAGAGAGAGAACGCGCACGCACAAGAATAGGCCGGGAGAAGTAGGGGGTGTGGAAAACGAGGCAGTGAGGTTGTGAGTGTACAGGGAGAACACAACTGTGCAAGCAGAGTGATGCTTACTCCTTCCCGAGTGGCAGTCCAACCGCCCTATCAATCCACGTTGCCTTGCACACACCCATGAGACCCTACGAGGCGCTTTCTGGGAGGAATCAAGGCCCTGGTCCCACCTCCTCGCTGCTGACAGACTCGGACTCGGAGGACGTGGCTGCCCAGCTGCAGCGAGCCTGCACGTCCTGCACCTGCTCGGCAGACACCCGCACGGTGCTTCTGCAGACGGCTGTTGGCTGGAAAAGGCAAAACAGTGAGTTATATCTTCACCTGCTCATGGAAAGGGTTAGCTTCTGTCCAATAATTCAGGCAACACTGTCAGGTTTGACAAAATGATGAAGAAAAGGAAAGTTCACTGAGGTTTTTCATTTTTTCCAAAATGAAAAATTTCTCAAGACCTAAGCGAAAACAAGTGAAATATTTAAATATCTCTTCAGTGTTTGATACATTACAAGTCTCTGGGAGAAGCAAACATGTCTGGAGTCCATTCCCATTGGGACAAAAAGAAATGGTAAGGACCCCACAGGACTTCGCTCTCCTCTCCTTTGCCCTCGGATGTCATTTGAGATAGACCCTTGTGACACTTTGGTCTGGGTCCTTTGTAGAACAGAGTCGCAGTGAAACGTGTGATGGAGCAAATAATCAAACCAATCCTTTTTTAAGTATAATGACAAAACCCCGAGAGCTCATACACCTGAATGCAAACACTATGGAAAGCAAATTTTCAGTGATAGTGTTGCTGTGTTCAGACAGGATTCCTGCCCATGGGTGTTGACTAAGCGTTGGACCGTGTTCTGGTCATGGGGTATACAAAAATGAACATGCCATGTTCCTGGTCTCATGGAGCCTGAACCAATGGGGGAGACAGGTGACATTCCACAGTCAACTGCATGGCAGGACCACGGACTCCACAGCTGAAGGGCCCAAGTCATCAACCACTGGACGGCACTGCCCCACCAGGGGACACTGTTGACACAGTTAGTGGGTGGCCAGATGCCACCCAGGCAGCAGCCAAGCTCTTTGCCTGACTCTAAGTCATGGAAGAGGTGAGGCTTTCCCTTATGGTGGTTTCTGGGACCAGGTCCTTTCCAACCACACTTACCATGAAGTAGCTGCCTTGGAAGGGACACGTGGAAGGATCTTCTCCGGAATCTCTCCTGCATGTAGTTTCTCGAACGCTGAACTCTAAACTCATGATCAAGTTGTTCTCATCCAGGACCTCAACCTTCATGACAACAAAGTGTCAGTTTGCAACAGATGTGTTTCTAAAGTTCATAGTGCTAGAAACAATTCTCTCTGCCCAGTGAGAAACAAATGTCAAAATCACCATGAAAGCTGTAAATTATCTTAGCAATCACCTCGTTCCATGCCTTCGTCGTGAAGACCAGAGGGAAAAAGTGACTTACCAAAGTCAAACAATACTTTGGTGACACAAATGGAACCAGAATGCAAGTGTCCTAACTCCAAGGCCAGTATTGTTTCTAACCATGTACACTGATTAATACAATTGATCCTCATTACTCATGGACCCCATATTTGTTAATTCCCCTACTCACTAAAAGTTATGTGTAACCCCAAGACCAGTACTTACAAACACGCTTTCTCAATCATTCGTGGACAAGTGAGGAGTGGGGAAAAACTGGAGTCACCTAAAGTGCGTGTTCCCAGCTGAGGTCAGATAAGGAGACACCCTGCCTTCTTGTTCGGCTCTCGTACCGTAGACAAGTGTGCTCTCTGTGGACCATGTAGTGACAGGCTTCTTGCATTTTTGTGCTTCCTGTGGGTGATTTCAGTGTTTGAAATGCCCCCAGGCTTCGTGCTGAAGAGCTGTCTGGTGCTGTTAAGTGCACAAGGCTGAGATGTGCCTCACGGAGAAAGGGCATGTGTCAGATAAGCTTTGTTCAGGCGTGAGTTACAGCGCTGTGGGCATGAGTTCAATGTTAATGAGTCAACAGTATATATTAAATTAGTCGTCTTCAAACAGGAATTCACTAAAGCAAGGAGGGGAATTGATGGGTTAATGAAAGTGTTGTGGCCCAAGGCTCATGGGAACCCACTCTCTGTTTCTCCTAGGAGCAGTGGTTCCACGTCCATTTGCGGTCATTTTATAGAACGTAACTACGACAAGTAATAAGAATCCACCCCATATGTTTATAAGTGTCATTTTCCTAAAAGACTGCTCCATGATTTTTAACAACTCCTGAAATAAGTAATGCAGTGACGAGTGCATCTCTGCTGTACGGAGTGTTACCCAGCGCCAGTGTCCTGCTGGAGCGGTTCTGACGCGTGAGTGAGTTTACGTGATCTTCTACTCTTTTCCACGGGAGTGGGATACTGGGGGAAGCTTCCAAACTTCCTGACAAATCTGGGAGGCTCTACTGACACAAAGCCCTGATGCATTTCGTGCTCGCCGTGTGTTCAGGACCAGAGACAGAGCAGGGACGATGCCACGAAGCTCAGATTCCAGAGGGGGTGCCACACGGTAAACATGTTAAAGAAAACTAAACAAGATCATTCCAGATAGTTATGGTGCTCTGAATAAAAACAGCAAAAACAACATCAAAAAGGCAATGGGGGTGGAGAGAGGAAGCAGCTACTTTAGAGAGAGTGCCAGAAAAATCCTCCCAAGGAAGGGCAATTTAAGCTGAGACTGGAAGATTGGGAAGGGGCCCATCGTGTGAGAAAAAGGCAGAGCCAATGCCCTGGGGTGGGGACAAGACCAACCCTTGTGGCTGGAACAGCAGGACCAAGGGGAACCCCGTACACCATGACATTGGAGAGGTGGGGGTGTCAGACAAGTTATGGCCCCATAGTGCATGGGGAGGTGTTTAGATTTCACACTCAATGAACAAGAAGCTATCAGAAGGTTTTAAGAGGTACGTCTGAATCACCAGGGCTGCTGCAAGGTGAACAGAATGCGGTGGGAGCAAGACAGTAGCAGGAGGCCACGGGGGAGCCTGCCATGTCCAGTGTGTGACAATAGCCCCGGGTTGCATGTCACGTCTTCCCTCTGGGCTGCGGAGCCCTCCTGTGGCAACTGGAGTCGGCAACACATTCAACCTACTCCAGTGAGGAGAGAGCTCACTGTGTGAGAGCGCAAGCCACCCACGGGGCGGGAGTAACGGGCACATGGGAAATTTTGTTTTAGAAAAACATGACAAACTCCAGGCTTAGGGTGGAGTCTCCATGTCTTCTAACAGGATATGCAGTAAGTGTTGATAAACGTAGAATTTTCTGAAAACAGGTAGAAATAAAAACTCAACCTCACCATTAATTACTACCTCATTTGTTTACAATTTTAATATACTCGATATTAAATCTGAGTCTCATAAAAAAGTTAAAAAATAAAAACCTGCGGCCCGGTGGGAAATGTGAAAATGTGGGTTTTTTGAGTACGGATCATTTTATTGAACTGTGAGATGCAACCTCTTTTGCCTCTTTAAGCACTGTTAAGCACGCTTTCAAGAATGTGGAGAAACACCCAAAATTTTTGCTGTTCCGTTTGAACTCAGTCTCAGCCGGCACATTTCTGCTCTCAGCCCAAATGCCCAACATGGAATTCAAAAGCCAGCATTACTGCAGAAATAGACTGTGGTGGTTTACAACCAATATTATAGTATGGTCCTGTTTTTCTTTAAAAAATTATTTTCCGTCTGCATGTGAAAAGAAAAAGCTCTGAAGGCATATCCTCCCTTGAGTTTACAGTGAGCGTCTCAGAGAAATGGACAATGTATGCGATTTTGGGTTTTTTCTTTCTTGTATTTTCTAACTTTTTGTAATGATCCTATTTTGCTTTTTATTTCAAATAAACAACAAAAGACCCACAACAATTCCATTTGGCGATTATAGTGATTAATTTTATGTGTCAACGTGGCTAGGCCAAGGTGCCCAGATACTGGGTCAAACATTATTCTGGATGTTTCTGCAAAGGCATGTCCTCACAATTACAACCTAGGCACCTCCCACTCATGCCCACCACTCTGGCCTCACTTTCTTGACTCTGGCCAGAAGCTCTCTCAAACCCTTTTGTCCTTCAGAGCCCTCCCATTGGCTCTGCCCGGTGCACTCCAATTCTCCCTCCAAAGGTCTTCCCACGGCTGGAACACCACGTCACTTGAGTGAGTCTCAGCTCAGATATGAAGCCCTGGTGGAGACCTCCACCCCGTCTGACAGCCACCCCAGCCCGGGCCCGTCCATCCGTCCACCTGTCTTATCGTCCCTACGGTACTTGCCACTGTCTGAAATAACATGAGTGTTTATTTAATAGCACGCCCTCCCCTCCTTCCCCAGTGGAGTCTGAGCTCTGTGAAAGCACAGCCTGGCCTGTCCCCTCCACTTCCTCGTCCCCCGTACAGGGCCTGTGTCCACCTTTCCTCTCTCTGCTCTGAGTGAGCCTAATGTGGAGGGTGGAGCAGGAGACCGTCAGTGCTGAAGTCACGTAACCTTAGCCTTTCTCATCCCCTCTGAAACTTGGAGCCTGGGAGGTAAGTAATTTGAAATCCATTGCAAGAGTACTCGATCCAAGTCTGTTGATAGAACCCGGTGGTTCCTAACTCTGACCACAAGAGCGTTTAAGAATATGAGCCCCCCGCCCCAGAGGCTGGGATTTCATTAGTCGATCATGCCTCCTGAACATCAGGAATATTTAAAGCTCCCGTGTGATGTCGATGTGCAACCCGGGTCGAGAATCACTGGGCTTGTTAAGCAAACACAGGGATACAGTAGAAGGGCCTGACCCTTCTCCCTAAATCCACCGAACTCTACCCCAAAATACCCGCACGTACATACGCATGACTAAACCACTTCTTTCCTTTGGACATATTCTTGGAAGTGAAACTATGAGATCCAAAGTTAAAAATATTTACTAATTTTAATGTTTAACATGCTTGTAAATATGCTTAACACATATTTCCAAATTGCTTTTCAAAGATAATTTTACCAGATTACAAACTCTCTAACAATGTTTGAGATTTCTTTTCACCTCGTAATTCTTCTACCTTGTTATTCTTCCTTTTCGCCTTGTCATTTTAACTCTGATTTTTTTCTTTCTGTTAGAGAGGTTGAATATTTCTCCAGATGTTTGCTAGTGATCTGCTCACTTAGCACATCTCTCATGTCTACTGCATAGAGAAAGTTGGCATGTTTGCAGCCATCTATAAGGTGTTGGTAGAAGATACGGTTAACACATGCAACATAAAGCAAAACCTGAAATATTCCCAGGAAAGAAATACCACTAGGAGAAATCAAAGGAGGAGGGTCTTCTTCTCAACAGAAGAGGAGAGAGTTTTCAAGGACAGGACGCAGCGAAGGTAGATTGATCAACACATTTGAATAATCAGAAAAGACTGGGGAGAGGCAAGAACAGGCAGACTTGCAGGGAGAGGAGCCACGTCTGCCGTGGAGAGATGTCCCTTATTTATGTGCCTATTAAGGATTCCATACGAAGCATATATTTCTAGATGCATCTGGGCTCAGGTCCGTGTGCCATACCGAGATGGCGCACACCAGAACGTGCCAGGTGGCTGTGTCTGACAACAGCCCCTCCCCACAGGCCAGATTTGCAGTGTCAGTAATCGGTTCTCTCAGGATCTGAACTCATTCTCTTATCCATTTAATTAACTACTCACTTCCTTCTGTAGTGAGCAATAGCTACATTACGAGTAAATTTAAACTGCTCATCTACAAGCTTGGCAAGAAGACATTGATTCCCAACACCACAAGTGCATTTCATTAGATGCCAATGGAAATGGCATTTGGAAGCCAACGCAAGCAGTGCACAAGGAAGGGGCGCTTTGCTCTGGTCCAGTCCTCTTCCAGCAGCAGTTCATCCTTCGGTGCAGCGGCTGACCATGCGCGGTCGGCAGAGCCCCCGCACCACGGCGTCCAGGTCCGGGACACCCCGTTCTGGCCATGACAGCATGGCTCTGGGATGGGCACCTAACTAAAGCATTGCCCATAGTCTTCATGACCTGTGACCCAACTAGAAAAGACACCCGGGATAATTTGATTAACTTCCTTGGAATTTGGAAAAGAGAAACTGAGCTGTTTCTGAAGAAGATCCAGATGAATATATTATATTCGCAGATGAACGATGGGAAGCCATGAACCGTGTGCTCGACAGAGCAGCAGAGGGAATGAGCTAAGTGAGCATCAGAGGCACCAGGAGGAACAGAAGACGGGAACAGCAGGCAGAGAGGAATCGGCAGCCGTCTGGCCTCTGCGCCGAGTAGCCGCCACCTGGACTCCTGGCCGCGTCTCTGTTCTTATTCCCACGCCACCTGGCTGCACAGAGATTTCGTTCCTAAGACTTGTGACTTTCTAGAACCTCCCTTACCTCCTACCTTAACCTACATTTGTCTGAGGATATTTCTGTTCCTACTTCCAAGTGAGCCACATTAGGACAATAACCAGGCAGCGAAATTGCCTGGGGAACAGGAGGGCAGGCGGCCACTTGCCGCGTCCGTCTCTCATTTCCCGTGAAGGACGTTTCTACGTGTCTTTCCTGCCCGTCACGGACATAGTCATTAGAAGCCCAAGAAAGCTCCTCTTTCCCTAGTTCCTAGGTATAAAAGGAAACAGGATACTACCAAATTGACAAAAGAAGGTGGATTTATTTGGCCCAAAAGGCAGAATTTATTTCCAGTAAGTATTCGGAGAAGAATTGCTGAATTTGAAAGGAGGCTCATTTCCGATAAATGAGAAGCTCTTAACAAAGTACCTCAGGAACAACCATAAGGACTTCAAGGACGAAAGCAGAATGCAGGGAAACAGAAGACAGGTTTAGAGGGAAGAATACAGCAGAAGAGTCAGTCATCAAACACAGCTTTCAGAGCCTCATTTACTCACTTACTCTTTTTAATGAGCTTCTGAATGCCCGAAACAGGTACGGACTCAGGGACTGGGAATTCACCTTCGCCACAGAGGCCCTGAGGGCTTCCCTCAAGGAGGACGGGTCATAGTCGTACACGGGGAAACCTGACACGCAAGCACACGGGCACAGTGAGACAGGGCACGTGGGCCAGGGTGCTTCCCGTCAGTAAGAGCAGGTGGGCACGTCACGGAGGACCTTACCTGAGCAAGCCCAGTAGTTCGTTCCAAGAGCAAACACAACCAGTATCTTCATCACTATCTTCCCCATCCTGGAAGGAAGAATTTTAACTCAGAGCCAGAGAGATTGTCTCTCTATGGGTTTGGGGGGACAATTCTTCCTAAGAGAAGCTGCCTTTATCAAATGCGACCTGGCTGCTTTCCCTGGAGCAGACTGTAACTTAAACAGAAACAATTGATCCTGGGGTCAATGTTTACTGCTGACTCTTCCTATGGAAAAGTTCCAGTTTGAGGCCACTTTTGAAGTTTAGACCTCACCAGGGGACTTTAGCCCACAGCAAAAGACACCAAGAGGTCCAGGACTTCATGTGTGCTGTTCATTTCTCTCTATTTTATTTTCATTTTGGGGGGGTGGGGATGTAATCTTATGTTCCACATAATGGTTCATTTTAAATTGTTGCCTATTTGGTTCCTTCTCGTGGTCCTAAAGGTCTTGCAGTTGACTGTTTATGAAAATAGTGCGGGTATTTCAAGATTTTTTTTTTTTTTTTTTTCAATTTTATACAGGGTTCTTAAATATTCCAAGCAAGTACGTGTGCAGTAAAAATCTAGGACACACCATGCTGTTAGGCAACCTTCTCTGCTACTGGACTCTTCTGCATGTCAGCGGGATAATAAGGTATTTACATATTGATGATTCTCTCACACCATGAGATCCCAAGGCAGTTTGTGAGTTGCTCAAAAGTTGAAATACTTTATAGGAAATGCAGTTTGTGTTATAGGTAGGTCATTGTGTTCTCATAAAAATGATTTCATGCATAGGAAGCCACACTGTGTTGTGACTCAGGAAGACCTGAGTGGGATCTTGCTCTTCCGCTTACCAGGTGCGTACCCCTGGGCACGGTGCTCAACTCCTCAGAACCTCAATTTCCTCATCTATGAAATGGGCATGAATGGCTAGATGTCAGGTGTATTATTAGTCTTGGTTCTCCAGACAAAGAACCAACAAGATGGACAGAGAAAGACAGAGACTGATTCTCAGAACCTGGCTCACACGGGTGTGGAGACTGGCACGTCTGAAATCTGCACAGTGGGCTGGCAGGCTGCAGACCCAGGCAGAAATCGCAGTTTCCATCCAAAGGCAACCGCCGGGCAGAACTGCTCCCTGCTGAGGGGTGGGGGGGCGCGGGGAGGTCGGTCTTTTTCTACTCAGACCTTCAACTGACAGATGATGCCCACTCAAGTAATGGAGGGCTGTCTGTGTCACCCAAAGTCTATTAATTTAAATGTTAACCTCGTTTTAAATCTACCTTCACAGAAATATCTAGAATAGTGTTTGACAATATATCTGAGTACTATAGCCCAGCCACATCGACACATCCAATCAGCTATCACGTAAGGATTAAATACCCTCAGAAGAGTGCTTGGAAAATTAATTGCTCAATCAATGGTAGCTACTAATAAGAATGCAATTCAATGAATATTTTTATTATCTGCTATATGTAAGGCCACAGGTCCAGAGACTCTCTTATGTGAACCAATAATCTAGTTCACCCTCCGTAAACAAGGCAAATGTAAGTGTCGACAAAGGAAGCATAAATCCCTGTAAGAATTCAGAGGGGCTGAAGAAAGACTTCTTGGGGATGCTGGGGACATCAGCAGTTTGTTTTCTCCTCTCAAGCCCAGTGCCCAGGAGGTGATGTGTCTTTTTGAATTTGGCCTTGGTGGATGCAAACTCATCCACTGGGAGAGAAGGAGCCTCAGCCCAGGAAGAAAGAACAGCAGCCCTGGGGAGGGGACTGCAGCCGTTTGCCAAGGGACATGGTGGGACACATCAGTAATGTTCCTCAAAGGCAGGCCAGGCATCATCATCAACGAGGAGACACAACAGCTGTGCCCTACAGGAAGGGCAGCGACGCAAAGTTTAAATTATTGCTACTGCATAAGGCGACTTTATCAAAATATTGCTTCAGTTTTGCCTGCCCTTTTCACAAAGGGGCAAAAATCACACTTTGGACGACTTTGCATACTGACCAGATAGTGACGCTCCCTGGGTATTTGCTCCCTGAGCCAAAAGCCTTTCTTTCCACAGGTCTGACTCACAGCACTTCAGCACAGAGGTGTATTTAACCCCCCTGCATAATGTCAGGGCCTCAATGTCCCCCCGGCCCACTCAACCACAACTCTGGGTCCTGCAGTTTCTGGCCACTCCCCAGCCTCCTCTCTGGCTGTCCTTCCTTCCTCACTAGGTGTCCTTGTGTTCCTCGGGAACACCAAATGTCTTCCATCCCAAGGCTTTGGCAAGTGCTGTTCATTCTGACAAGCAGTAATGACATTCCTCTTTCTCTCCCCAATGTCAGCTCCTTCCCACGATTCAGGTCTCAGCTTAAACAGCACCTCCCCAGAGAGCTTCTCCAACCAGATCAAGCACCTGCCTAAACTGCTCTGTCCCGAACCCCTCCATGGTGGCTGTCTGCTTCTCCCTTCCTGGAACTTACCACAAATGCTTACAGATCTTGCTTGTTTGCTCAATACTGTCTTTCTCCTCTAAGACTACAAGTTCCATGGGGCAGGCACCGGAGCTGTCTTGTTCATGTTATACTGAAGCATCCAGATAGGAATACGATCAAATATTTGTTGAGTGAATGAGTGAGCGAGCACACTTGGTCTCTCTAAACTTTAATCCACATCTTTCTGCTGGAAGCCTGCACTAATTTCTGGTGTGTAACAGGTACACAGAGCAGTGTTCTATTAGGTCATGACCACCAAAATTTGTAATTCTATTACTTTTAACCTGCTTTGAACTCAATTCCATTAGAGTCTTTCAGATTTAACTAATGGCACCATCTGGCTCCAAACTCCACAGTCTCATTAAAAGAGCAGCAGTAATAAAAGTAATTGCAAAAGAGGAGAGGAGATTAAAGAGACAGCAATAAAATAATGTTGCCAGCACAGGGCTATTGATTTTGTTTGTAACTTGCTGGTGTGGGGATAGATCTTTGCATTTCTCAGATTCTCCTGGCTACAATTAAGTGTTGGCACCAGGCATGCAGGGCAGGCACTGATTAGTGCTAAAAAGTGGTGATCTAAAAATGCCTCTGCAGAGCTCTGTCATGTCTGGTAAACCTGGAAGATTAAATACAAGCCATCCATTGGAATCCAAGCCATAATGATCTCTTTTATTATTCTTTCTCCAATCTGCAAACATGTGTGCAGCATTAACTCCTGCAGTTTTCTTCTGTTCCAACACAAATTATTTAGTTAAAAGATTAAAAATTATATGGCACTAAGTGAAGAGGGTTGGGTAGCCGTTTTAAAATGGCCCCTGGAAATTTATACAAAAGTCATTGCAGAAAGCTTAACAAGAGCAATTGGAAAGATGTTGAATAAAGATGGGTGGACATGCACGTTATAGACTAATAAGGTTCATCACTTTCATCTTCACCATTTCTCTTGAGATTGTTTCTTTTCATTTCGGTCAGCTCTACTGGTAATATTATTTGAGAAACATCACTAAATTTAGAGCAAATGTAAACCAAGTTTTCATCTGATCCATAAACTACACATTTTACAGCTGCCTTTTAATTTCTTGTAATAGCATGAATTCTAAACTCCCGAACCCCACTGTCAAGATTTACCTTGATGGCCTTGAACCTTTCTAAGTTCAATGCTATCGTTACATTTATTTTATAGGAATAACAGGTCTGTCTGCAAAGCAAAGTTGTGCAGATCAGCAGTTCTCACAGAGCAGTCTCCACGCCAGCAGCTCCAGCAGCTCCTGGGGATTTGATGCAGATTCTCGAGCCCTACACCACACCTACTAAGTCGGGAACTCCAGGGAGAAGACCCAGCCACTTGTGATCTTACAAGTTGCCCTGGAGATTCTGATTCATAGTCAAGGTTGAGAGTCAGTGGCACAGAACAATGGTTCTCAACCAGGGTGATTTTGCCCATCAGGGGGCATTTGGCAAATGCCTGAGGACACTTCCAGTTGTCACAACTGGGAGAGAAGATTCTACTGGCATCTGGTGGGTGGAAGCCAGAAATGCTGCTGAACACATTACAACACACAGGACAGATGCCCGTGAGAAATAATTATCTGGCCCAAAATGTCAATAGTGCAAAGGATGAGAAACCCTGGTGTAGGAAAGGACAAAGAAGGGTGAGCCCCATTAAGGACACTTTCCAAAGGTCACACACAACATTACTGCTTACATCTCATTGGGCCAGAAATAAGTTACAGCGCTAACTTACTGCGAGGGCGGCCAGGAAAGGTCATCCAATAACTGGGAGAATAGATGCTGGAATAATAAGCGACAATCTTTGCCAACTCGAGTTGCAGAGACCAGAGGATTTATGCTCCACAGGACAGAGGTGAAGGAGATCTCCAAGAAGACAGTTGTGTAGGAGGCTAGAGGGCAGTCCTTGGATGGAGGGCCCCAAAGAAAAGAAGAAATTAATAGAGTCCTGACATAAAGAATACTGAGAAGAGATTTATATTTCTGGTGGAGACTTTGGAGTTGAATTTCTGATAGGAACAGGGAAACTAAAGCAATTTTTTTAAATGAGGCATTGTTATTTCCAGGAAAAATAAACATTTATTCAAGAAATATTTATCAGTTAGGAAAATCTCGATCATAGTGTGACAACGAATGTTTCCAAACTATAGTAAGTTAAAACAATAAAATCTTATCTTTTGTTCATACTATATACCCACCAGGGATTGAAAAAGGGGTTCTGCTCATCATAGTCACAAAAGGATGAAGGGTGATGGAGCAACCATCTTTTATTATTATTATT